CGGTATATCTACAAAAAATAGTTCGTACGTACAGAAATATTCGGAATATTAAAATATTTTCAACACACTAAATTATTTACGACTTGGCTGTCAAATCATTTTTCGCCATAAATTTGCGCCATGAACAAAATGTTTTCGATATCCATGTATAGTCCAAGGGTAGCTGTGGTGTCTTCTCCAGATGCGGATCAAGTGTGTCAAGCGAGTAACTTCCCTGATTTTCTCACATTGATAAAACCTTTCGGTGAGCGCATTGAAGGAAAAGGTTCGTAAGCATAACAGTAGTCCAATGTCAAAGAAGCATATTGTAGGTACAAAGCTTACTCTCTTCTTTTTTTTTTTTTTTTTTTTTTTTTTTTTAAAAAAAAAAAAAAAAAAAAAACCACTGAAAATCCAATTACGTTGTTATTTCATTCGTGTTTTTATTTGAATCTATACAGTGTCCACCAAAGATTCTCAGGGTGCTTCGAATCCTATAGAAAACTTTACAATTCGATTTGTTAATTTAACAAGACTAGAACAGCCTGACGTTCAACTCGCTTCTCAAATTCTGGCGAATAGAGTCAAGCATGTTAATAATTCTCTCTTGACGGATGAATTAGCGCCCATCAAAACGAAATCTGATGTAACTGAGAGGTATTTGGAAGGTATTTTGCTTTCATCGTCCGAATCATTTATAAGTAAAGTCGTCATGCCGTATTAATGCTTATACGCATTACAGTAAATCAAGATGAATTAACTCCATGGTACGCAGAATATAGGCAATGGTTCTTCAGATTTACTGGCATTTCCGAACACGAAACCTTTGAACATCCTGTAGCCTGTATCCTTTGAACGTTGTTTATTCTTTTATTATGTTAATACTATTTATATATTAGAACCATGACTTATTTACATTTCAGGTATTCTCGCCATAAGTTCGTCAAATGTGAATCCTATCGATACGCTTCGTCAGATGTGTAATATCACTTCTCTTGCTCCTATATTTGAAAAAGGGTTTATGGACCCCAATATTTTGAAATGCTACGTTCTTTTACATGATAATCATAAAGTTAGCATGGAACAGTGAGTAAATCGTAATTATTTTTGGAATTCTTATTTTTTATTTGTATGAATGCCGTAAAGAGAAACGCGTAAATCTTATAAGATTTGCGGGTTTTGTTTAGCGACACTCATGTGTTATCACGTTTGCGGTAATTCCATTAATTGAATAATATCGTGACTAGCTCTGAAGCGATCTACGAAGAGATGAAACGCACATTTAAACAAGACTGCTACCTTTTAAAGCTAAATTCTATCCCTCCTACATTACTTTCGGAGGATAATGATCCTTTCTCTATTCCTACTTCTCCTCCGTCAACAACAATTCGCGGTGCAACGAAAGATATCTGGTCTCCTTATGTTTTGGAATCCAACGTTCTCGATGCAATGTTTGCGGCTACACCTCCGACTCTGTCTACTTTCTCGGAATCTCACTCACGCCAAAGTTCTTTAACTTCACTCTCAAGTTATTCGCACCCACTTTCTCCCACTATTTCAGCTCTAAATTCTCCAACGTCATCATTTATTGAAGATTCTACATTTAACAAAGAGAACATGAATTCCGATTTGCAAAGTGCACTTGATCCGGGTTTAATTGGCAATTTGTCACTTCCTGATGTTTTGTATGGGCAATACCTTAATGAAGATGATATCTCTGGTATTCGTGTTTTTATACGAGATTTGGTAGACAAAAGTATTATACCATACATGGAGAAAAATATTTGGCAATGGAATGAGCAGGTTTTTATTGTTTTAACATATCAATATAGTATATCAATAAATGAAATATACATCATGGATTGCATTGATGATTTATGACTTTTAGGTAGCATCATCAAGACGTGGAATTACTGGTCGTCTCTTAAATGCGGGTAGACGTTATTTTATTACTAGTACAAGAACCACTGGACCGGCTCAATCTTCTCAATATTCTTATATTGGAAATTCTTCAAATGCTGCGAATACTATGTTAGTTGATATTTTACGAGCGTTCGGCTATATATCAGCAGGATGATTAATTTAGCATCTTTTAATCTTAGATATTTATACAATACTCCGGAAGCACAAATGCGTAAACTAGCCGATTATGCCTTTATGCTCAGAGATTACCGTCTTGCCCATTCGGTTTATGATACCGTCAAAAAAGACTTTTTAGCTGATAAAGCATGGAAATATTATGCTGGTTCACAAGTGAATATCTATAATATTTATTAATTAGTCGTTAAATATCATCAACAGATAATAATTTGTTTTGTTTTGTTTATAAAAGGAAATGGTTGGAGTTTGTTTGCTAATTGCTGGAAATAAATCAGATGTCGATCACTATTTTGAGCAGGCGGTTAATGCTTATCTTGTCCGCTCTAAAGTCCCGTTTTACGCAACTAGGGCTACACTATTGTATTACGAATTGTTAAAACACAAAAAATTGTACAAGGATGCGCCAACTGCACTTGTGCGGTTGACTGGAGATGTAAGATGTTAATTTTTATGTTATTTATGTTATTGGTACTTGATAGCTTGAGATTTTATAAATAAATGTATATTTATGCAGGACTCTGACTTGAGAAGTGCGTTATTCTTAGAGCAGGCTGCTCATTCTTTTTTGAGATGTTCTAAACCTATGGTCAGAAAATATGCTTTTCATTTGATGCTAGCGGGTCACCGATATGGAAAATGTGGCCAGGTAAAAAGAAACTGCAAAAAAAAAAAAAAAAAAAAAATATATATATATAGTATTGTGTTTTCATTAAATGAATCAATGATAGCTTATGCTTTTTAATCTTTTGATTTATTCAAAGAGGGAGCATGCGTATAGATGTTATCTTGACGCTATGCATGTTTTTGAAAACCATTCATGGACTTTAATTGAAGATCACGTTTATTTTGCACTTGGTAGACAGTCTGTCCATTTAGGTGATCTTTCAGCTGCTCTGGAGTTTTTTATAAAATTATTGAGGGCGAGTCGTCAACCACCAACACAGCAAAATGCCTATTTGAGAGAATTTATGTATATTTATAAGGTAATTAAATTTGACCTCGTGCTGATAATATAACAATAAATATTAACTTGATACTATTCTGTTATATCCTCTTTCTTAAGCAATATGAAAGTAAAACTGGAAAATATCCTTATTTTGATCAAGAGCTTCCAATTCCGGTGATCGATGATTCATCTGTCAAAGTTATTCTTTCTAATTCGCAATCTAGTGAATATGATGAGATTTGGGATGTAATGGAACGAGAATTTTTGGAAGAAGGGTTTACAGGATTAGATATTCATGGAAACCCACGGAAAAAGCCAAATACTTTAAATAGCGATATTCACAGGACCGTATGTGCTGTTGGAGGTATGAACTATTGCATCTATTACTATAGCGATATCTTATTTATTCATATGCTCTTTTTATTTATATATATAATGTGTAGAGCCTTTTTTTGTTCAGCTGACGCTTTATAATCCCATGCAAATTGCGTTTAATATAAATGATTTGATTCTTGAGTGTGAATATATCCCATTACCGGGCTCCAGTGAGAATTTTACAGAGTTAGATAAGGACATAGATAACGAAACGACTACACCATACAATGATATTATTGACAGTAGAGAATCTCAATTAATGAAGTTCGAAGATTTTGACCTGGAAACACTTAAAGAAGTGTCTCTTGAAGGTCTAGAGAAAAAAATGGTACAAAACTGTTATATTTTTTCTAAGTAGTATTGTAGTTGTTCGAAAACTCAATAGTGTCATGGAATAATAATGATTTGTTACCAGATTTCTTTGTGTGTATTACCGAAAAAACAAGGTTCAATCAAAATTTTGGGTCTTAGGTATATTCTTAACTCAATTGTCCACGGAGTAAAGAAATTTTCGAAGCGTGGAAAACGCCTCAATGATACAACTGAGCAACGCATGAGTATTGTCTATGCCCCTGATCGATCACTAGATCTTTTGGTTACATCACCAATGCCATTGCTTGAGGCAACATTCCACTCTTTTCCCGATGTTCTTCTTTCTGGAGAAGTAAAACAAGTTCTTTTGGAAATCAACAATAAAGGGCAGAAGGGACTTACGGACTTACGTGTGAAAATGAGTCATCCTAGTTTTTTTTGCATCGGTGACGCGGGGATGTTAGATCAAAAAGTATATTGTAAGTTTGTTAATTTTTGAGGTTAAGATTTTTAAATAAAAAATACAAATATTAACGAATACTAATTCATGGATAATGACATTTCAGACTCTTCCACTAGAAATTCGAAATTAAATGCAGAAATATGGACAACAAACAACTCTATATTCAAATCTAGCATAAAAGCCATACCGTTACCACCTCAAGAGGTTAACAATATTTGTTCTCTCGCTCCCGGTAAAACAACCTTAATTCCAATTTGGATTAGAGGAGATCGTATAGGAAAACATTCGTTTAGGTTTTTATTTACTTATGAATCTGAGGTACCCTTTTCTTTAAATTTTACTAGCAATGTCCAAGATTTTTGTCACTTAATAAGCATTATGATATCTATTTATTGTTTAGAATAACAATTCAGCTATGAGATATAGAAGTCTCCGTTATCTTAAAGCAACGCAAGTATATCCTTCTCTCAAAATAAATGCATTCACTCGACCAAGTATCCGAGGATTAAATGAATTCATTTTGGGGATTGAGGTAGGCTAGCCTTATTTGCAGTTAATTTGATTACTATTAATTCATCTTTACTCTTTTATTTTATTTTATTTTTATTTTATATATCACTTACAGATTGAAAATTTACAAACTACTAGTGAATATCAATTTCAATTAGCCCAGCTGTCTTCGATTAGTCCATCATGGACAATATCACTTGTGAATGAAAGCCTCGAGTATGCTGATTAATAACCTGTGCTTGCCTTTAATTAAAAACTGGGTTGAAAAATTTAAATGCAAATAAATTTAACATGTATGTTATTGTAGGGACGCTAGCCAGAAATTTTTAATAGCCCCACGCCAGACGGTGTTCACTTATTATCGAATTAAAAAAGATGAAAAGCACTCTAAACCGGTAATTCATGACAATGTTGATTCACAAAGCTCAATGATCACACCAGAGGTGTTCTCATCTAAGGCTTTAGAACTATTATTAAGCGGACAAAAAGATCTGAAGTCGGAACCATCACCTATTGATCTTATTGTAACGAATGTTCCTTTTGTAAGTTTTATTTATTAGTGTTGAAAATCTATTATACATTCAAAATTTACCAATAATCATTGGATTGTACTTTATTTAGACAGATAGCACTATAACAAATTCCACGAACCCGCTTGAAGGATTTTCATTGAATTCGCGCGTTCAATGGCGAACCAATACTTTAATTAATAATTTTCCTGTTATTCCAGCATCCAAACACCGTACACTTTTCCCATTATACAATACAAACGATGTAGACCTTTCACTTTATTGGAACATACCAACTTTGTCACGTCAAGGACATCATTATATTATTGGGATTAATCTTGGAGTTCAACAAAATCCGTTTCGATCACAGAATATAGCAGCAATTCAGGGTAGAGCATTGTTTGAACAGACAGTTCGAGAACGAAATACATTAGTTAATAGCTTACTGAAAAACAAAAATTTCAAAGATGAAAATCCATTAAAACTCATTATACAATGTGCAGACGTGTATGAACATGATTTTCGGAATCGAAGGTTAGCATTATCATGTTTTTTCGAGTAAAAAATTCAATTAGTCATTGAATCACTCAATATATATTATTTTTTTAGCTTTTGTATTGTTCCTATCAAAATATCAGTCAAAAATTGTTCATGGAATAGGAAAATCGGGTATACATTGGAGATGTTATCGTCTGATCGGAATGAAACCAGTAGGAGGTAAATAAGTTAATGGCTGATTCTAATTAATTTATGAACATCGTTTAATCTATTAATCCCGTATAGTACACTACACAAGTCCGTATACCCAACAGTATTTCAATGGACTGGACCTACTTCTAAATGTTCCATATTATCAGTGAACGAAGAACAGACATATATTTTCAAAGCATGCTTTGTTAGACCTGGTGTTTATGACGTAAATAGATGGCGATTGACGATAAATTTTGATCAGACTATAACTGATGATGAAAGTAAAGGTGAAAGTTCACGAGAGCACTATGCGACGAATGTTTGTGAAGGCAATGTTGGGATGAAAGGTTATGTACAAATGCCTAATACTTTACGTCTTTTGACATTGGTGGATAATTCAATTGACAAAAAGAGCGAAGATAGCTTATAATCATATAGAGAATCATTTAATAGTCTATTTTACGTTGAAATAATTATTAGCCCAGGAATAATCATGTTATTTTTTGTTAGCTTTTAATTTTTCTAACTCTGCCATGATATCTTGCCTGTTTGTTGGAGGACGCTAAAGATCAAATAAATATTACAATTTGAGAATTATTTAATATTTAATAAAAGTTTTGTTTAGTTACGTGTGATTTTTCAGCCCGAAATCTAGTCTAATAATACACATATATATATATATCAATTTATTCTATCAAAATACTGAGCAAAAATGTTTTAACAAGTACCTCTTTAACGTGCCTTTCATAAAAACTAGGACGTCCAACATAATACATCACAGCGACAGGAAAAAAGATATAGACGCTAAACTAAAATGGTAGATAATAAATGTAAGCCTTAATTATCATTTGAAAAATAATGAAAACGAGAATATAAATAAATTATTGCCTTAAAAAGTTCTAAATTTGGACCACCCATTTCGTGGCGAACATTATGGGAAACTTCAATCTGTTATATATATATTGAAAAAGCATTGTGACACAAATTTTAACTTCTGGACCCGTGTATAAAATAATTTCATTGGTTGTTTTAAAACGTGTTTGTTTTATTTTTTATTTTTTTTGTTTTTATTCGTGTTTCTGTTTCTTTATTAGAATTCATATGATATTACAATAATTTATGTTTTCTAATCTATATGGAATTAAAAGCTAAAGCTACTTTATTTTTGACCTAAGCTTTTGTTAAGATGGGTTAATGACCTCATTAGTTTATATAAGAAATTTTGAGTAGGGAGGTGTTTGCTGTTATAAAGTCATTGAGCCAGTAGTTATATTTGTATATTTTATGGTAGTTTGTAGTTGAAGTTGAGGATTGGGAGATTTGTGTAGGTTGGTTTAAGAGTTTAATGCATTTTGCTTTCCAAATCTTCTTTTAGATCTTTTTGATAACATAATAAAGGAAGTAATAGATAGAGTTTTTTGATATATTAGTTTCTGTTTGGAAGTTCTCACTGATAATAATATCTTTAGTAATGATCTCACTGATAATAATATCTTTAGTAATGATTTTAAGGGGTAATGATCTCACTGATAATAATATCTTTAGTAATGATTTTAAGGGGTGCAGATTATAGTTTGTATATAAATTTTTTTGTTTATAGTTGGTTATATTTATATTTATTTTGTATTTTTGTATTGTTTGGTTAAAAACTTGTGTAATTATTTCTTTAATTAAATAAGTATTAGTTGTATATATAAGCCAGTATTGGTTAAACTACCCTAGCATAATTATCAAAAAATCACAGACATATGATTTTTTTTGCTGCAAACCAATCAGATCACAAGATTAGCTGTAACATTGCATGATCAAGAAAATTCAATACAAATGTTCATTTCATCAAAAATTGCACATTTCTCAAAAAGTAATATAAGAAACTATTATTAGTGCTCTAACAAAAAGTTTTTTTTGAGTGATTTTACTATAAGACCTTATCTAACTCTAATCTTAGCTCTAACTCTAACTCTAACCTAAATGAACTTAAAGATTTTTTGGCCTATGATTTTTTAAGTTATACTGGTAAAATTATATTGGTTATCTTTGTTTACTTGTGTGTATTTGTAACATGTGGAGTTGTTATATTTTGTTAGATGACAGATATATAAGTTGAGAAGTATTGGAAGTTTATCTATTATTAATTTTATTTTAAAGGGTTTAATTCTGGTTTGGATAGAGTGTATATATTAGTTTAGAGGACTATTGTAATAGTTTATAAAATTGGAGATAACTTTCGAGTTGATCTTTTTTGGATCGAGATGTTATAGATATATTTATTTAATTCGTGATCTGCATACCAATTAGTGAAAATAATTAGTAATATTTGGAGCAAATTTTTGTAGATCATTAATAATAATTTAGTTAGTTGTAATTTTTTAAAGCTTAGACAATACTAATAAAAGTATTTTTTTTATTTTTACACAATAGGAATAATATTTAAAACCTAAAGATATATTATCTTAATTATTGTTATTCTTTTATTAATAAAAAAGTATGTATATTCAATAACAGAGCCAGATTTCAAAGTAAAACTCGCTTTGCGATTTTGATTTTTATACTTTTATATGATCTAGAATGGATCTTTTAATTGTATACTTACACTATAAGCTATCACATTTTTATATATTGTTTTCCTTTCAATATCTCTTTATCTTTTTGCAAATCTAACTAAACCATTCACTATAGTATACACAATATATAGTTTAGATTCGATTATAATATTACTAAAATCCTGAACATTAGTATTCTTTTAACATAAGTTATAGTGAAGATTTTTTTAGTCTGAGAACTTGACTATAATACGAATTACTTTTCAATATTAAAGTTATTTAGCAAACAATAATTTACTATATATCTCTCAAATCTCTCAAATAGGTTAATTTGGAAGTACTATAAAAGTGTATGAAGTGCATATACAAGAGCCCCA